TCCTTTCCATTCCCTGTTCCCCTTCCCTTTGACCCTTCCTTTCTTCATTTCCATTCTCCGCTTCCCATCTCCCCTTCCATTTTTGTCTTCCAACCCACTCCTTTCTGTGAGTTACTGAGGTTCAATGTATTTTCCTTTCTTTCTTAATATCAATATGTTTCCCTTCCTTCCTTCCTTTCAATATATTTTCCTTCCTTCCTTCCTTTCAATATGTTTTCTTTCCTTCCTTTCAATATATTTTCTTCCTTGCTTCCTTTCAATATGCTTTTATTCCTTCCTTTCAATATGTTTTGTTTCCTTCCTTTCAATATATTTTCCTTCCTTCCTTCCTTTCAATATATTTTCATTCCATCCTTCCTGCCTTTATATATATTTTCCTTCCTTCTTCCCTTCAATATATTTTCTTTCCTACCTTCCTTTCAATGTGTTTTCCTTCCTTACTTCCTTCAATATTTTGCCTTCCTTTCTTCCAATATAAATATATTCTTCCATTCAATATATTATCGTTCTTTTCTTCCTTTTAATGTATTTTAATCATTCTTTACCTCCTTTCGATATGGCATCTTTCCTTCCTTTCCCTATGTGTTCATTCCTTTCAGTTTATTCTTTAAGCATAAACAAATTGTATAATGAGGCAGAAAATTAAAGACAACAAGATGAATAAAAGAACTGAAACTACATATGGCAGGATGTTAAAAAAACGGTTGCAACAAATTGTTAGATTAGAGTTTGGTTTATTCCTGCGTGTCCTTGTTTTTATCCTCAATTTCCTGTTCATTACAAGCTGCAAGGTCAGTTTACAGACCCCACACAGTATCTAGGAGTACCCGGAGAATAGGTGATATTTCTCGCCATGCTTTGAACCTCCAAACACGAGGATTCAAGGTTTAAACATTGACTTCTCCTTTTTCCTAATCTAAGAGATATCACCGCAGGAGCTATCATTAGAAATCCTTCCGTCCTGGTCTAATCTGGGTTCGGATCAGTCCTATCTGGTCGGAGAGCTTGTCGGATCTACCATCTGGAGAAGATATCTAGAGATTACCAAACCCGAAAGGGTAGGATGGGTCCTATCTCCGCAGGTTGGAAACTATCTAAGATCTGATCACTGATAGTTGAAGAATCCTGCTGAGATGTTTTGGATATTTACCCAAACTTGTCTACACGGGATATATAGGTTCCAAGGAAAACATGCAAAATGCAAAACTGAATTTGGAGATAAACAAAAACATTCTGTAATACATCACAGTGTCAAAGAATCTCATTTTGATATTTGTTTTTGTATCCAACCTACCTTCCTCAATACAAACCTATCCTTGCTGTATCCAACCTATCTACTTGAATACAAAGCTATTCTTATCAAATCCAACCTACCTTCTTCAATGCAAACCAATCCTAATTGTATCCAACCTACCTTCTTTAATACAAACCAATCCTAATTGTATCCAACCTACCTTCTTTAATACAATCCTATCCTCATTGTATCCAACCTACCTACTTTAATACAAATCAATCCTTATTGTATCCAACCTACCTACTTTAATACAAATCTATCCTTATTGTATCCAACCTACCTTCTTTAATACAATCCTATCCTCATTGTATCAAATCTACCTTGTTTAATACAACCCTATTCTTATTGTATCCAACCTATCTTCTTTAATACGAACCTATCCTTATTGTATCCAACCTATCTTCTTTAATACAAATCTATCCTCATTGTATCCAACCTATCTTCTTTAATACAAACCTATCCTTATTGTATCCAACCTACCTTCTTTTATACAAACCTATCCTTATTGTATCCAACCTACCTACTTTAATACAAACCTATTCTTATTGTATCAAACCTACCGTCTTTAATACAAACCTATCCTTATTGTATCCAACCTACCTTCTTCATTACAAACCTATCCTTATTGTATCAAACCTACCTTCTTCAATACAAACCTATTGTTATTGTATCCAACCTATCTTCTTCAATACGAACCTATCCTTATTGTCTCCAACCTACCTTCTTTAAACAAACCTATTGTTATTGTATCCAACCTACCTTCTTCAATACAAACCTATTGTTATTGTATCCAACCTATCTTCTTTAATACGAACCTATCCTTATTGTATCCAACCTACCTTCTTTAATACAAATCTATTGTTATTGTATCCAACCTACCTTCTTTAATACAAACCTATCCTTATTGTATCCATCCTACCTTTTTTAATACAAATCTATTGTTATTGTATCCAAACTACCTTCTTTAATAAACCTATCCTTATTGTATCCAACCTATCTTCTTTAATACGAACCTATCCTTATTGTATCCAACCTACCTTCTTCAATACAAATCTATTGTTATTGTATCCAACCTACCTTCTTTAATACAAACCTATCCTTATTGTATCCAACCTACCTTCTTCAATACAAACCTATTGTTATTGTATCCAATCTACCTTTTTCAATACTAACATATCCTTATTGTATCCAACCTATCTTCTGTTATACAAACCTATCCTTACTGTATCAAGCCTATCTTCTTTAATACAACCTATTCTTTTTGTATCCAACCTACCTTCTTTAATACAATTCTATTCAACATGTCTACTTTAACAAAAACTTGTCCTTATTGTATCCAACCTATCTACCTCAATACAAACCTATTCTTATTGTATCCAACCTATCCTTATCCCCGAGTTTCTCTTTATCCCAAATTTAACTGGGTTTGGGTGTCATCTGGCCCTGATAGTAAAGAATTAGAGAAGAATTTGTCCCGTCTTATCTCAGGTTTAACCACCCTGCATCTCTATATCAACTCCAGGTACTCATCTTAAACCTTGCTCCAAGATTAAACTGATCAGCAGCTGAGGTTTAGCTTAGTTTATATCAAGATATATCATCAAACCTGGGTTTATATTCTCCTGGATAAGGTTGAATAGTTGGACAAAACAACGGGTGGAGATTTATATCAAGATGTTTAAAAACAAAACCCAGTGAATGATCTTAAAAACATAGCTTCGAGCCTACGAGGACAAAAATAGCCCCCATATTAGCCCCTGATGAAAAATGACGAGTTTTACCAATAGTTTAAAGGGCAACGTTTAAGATTTTAAACAAAGTCCCATTTAACATTATGTTAACAAACCCTTTAATTTTCGGAACTTCTACAGGGGCATTTTTAGAGGGAACGTTCGCGAAAAATGAAAAAATTAATTAAATTCGACATCGATCGCTACTATTTTTACTTTTATCTGTTGCGTATAAATCCAATTCAATTCGATATCCGCCTGTCATTTTTCGATAACACAAAGGATGAGTAAAGGATGATTTGAAGCTTTATTTTTGGTTTCTGAATTCAATTAAGTATTTTGATGGTTTACAAAATGATTAAGCACAGAAATAAGCCAGGTTCGGCCTATAAAAAAGCCTGAATGCAAGAAAACGGACAAAACAAATTCCGTACAATCGTCTCTGAAGTCTCATCCTTTTTGGGTAACCCTGTATATCTATTTTATAGGATAGGGGTTAGGATCTAGTTCAAACTTTTGCAGAATTCTTTTTTAGGTTTTGACCACTTCTTTCCTCTACTTCCTTTAGGTAAACTATTTCCTTTAAATAGGGTTTAAAGGAATTTATCTATGTCCAGTTTGAAAAGCAAGGATGACATGAGAGACGGTGACAGATGTTGGTCCAGGACGGATATAATGGTTTAGCTCCGGGAGCAGGATGTAGAGATGAGCAAAGGACGGTTCCCAGGATTCTCTTCTCCAGATGACCATTTAGTAAATATTTCACAAGGAACAAGATGAAATAACAAGAATGTAGTTTAGCTCTGAAAGGTAGAATTTACGATGGATCTTGAAATAATGAGGAATACGACATTTGGACTGAACTCCACTGACAAACAAATACAAAAAATCCAACGCCCGTGTTTCAAAATCTCATTAAGTAGTCTATTCTGAAATATCTTGCAGTTTATTAAAAAACTGTGAATACACTGTAAGCAAAGGTTCATTTAAAAAATTTCGCGTATTTTATAAAATAAAATTTCGTGGATTTTTTAAATTTTCAAAAATCGAATTTTGATGGAGGCAAATTTTTGAAAATTTGATCATCAATAAACCTTCCCTGGGGTCACGTGAGGTCCCACAAAATACATTTGGACCCGATCGGCTCAGCCGTTTCGACGTTTATCGGATACAAACAGACAGATGCAGACAAACAAAGTATATATATAGATTTCACAAATTTTCATATCCCTTTATATTGATAATTAGGACAAATATTTCCAAATTATATCGTTTAGTTCGATATTGAAAACTAAATTATAGGTTTTTTTTTAACAGTACAGGGATCGAATTAAATAAACTTGAGCTAGTTCGTTGAACTACCAAGCGCCGGTTCAAGTCTTGAATAACCGGTTCAAAATTAAAGATTCATTAGGATTTGAATAGGTGAGTCAGGACTTGAACTGGCGGTATGTAGTTTAAAATGTCGGATTAAGGCTCAAAGGTCAAATAACCCAACCTAATGTTCAGACCAATTTGCAATGTTTCTCTTACCGGCTTTAAACAATGGAAAATGGAAAAGTTCTTTCTTTTAAATATTTCCTTGTTTTGCTGTCAGCTTTTTCTAGATGTTTCCTGTGCTAAGTTTCCAAAAATCTTTCATCTTTTATCATTTATAATGGTTTTAGGTGTACTTATTACACGCAAATAATTTGAATTCATGTCAGTTAAATAATTATCCAATCTAATATATATTTTCTCTATCTATCTAACATCTAACTTTTTAATACTATTCTATTTTTTTTCTAAATTTTCTCTTTCTATCTAACATCTAACTTTTTAATACTATTTTATTCTTTTTCTAAATTTTCTTTTTCTATCTAACATCTAACTTTTTAATACTATTCTATTCTTTTTCTAAATTTTTTCTATTTTCGCTTCTAATTTTCTTATTCCTACGATTTAAACTATCTTTCAGTAAATAATTAACAAAGTTGTTTGAGATCAATAAAGTTATATTTATTTTTATATATTCTTGTACTTTATGTTGATAAACTATCACAGATGGGGAAGGTTGGAAAAATGAAACTTCTAATTAAGGTTTAGAATGGTCTCCAGACAGGGCTGAGCTGAGGTTCAGGTTTGATGGAAGGACTGATCTGTAAAAGTCCGGAAACAGGAGAAATAATACTGCTCGGAGAAGGAGATGAATCTCTTCCTGAAGAGTATCCACAGTCTGATGAGGGAGAGGATGGAACTCTTACTCTCAAAGGAGAAACTCTTGAGGTTTCTATTGTGTTTAGTTTATGACCAAGATGAGACATAAGACGAGATCCAACTGTAATATCTACTCCGGTAGAAGCAAGACATTTGCTTACTTCAGTAGCACAGGCAGTATATCCTGCATGGAATCTATCCAGATCAAGTCCAGGGTTCAAGGCCAACATCTGCTGTCTCTTCAGCTTCCTCAAGTGTCTCACAGTCAACTCCAACACGTCAGCTTTCTCCAGCTTGGAGATGCTTTCTCCCTCTGTCTGCAGAGCGAACACCATGAGATCCTTGAGTTCATCAAGACATGCATTAATCCGTGCTCTTCTCTTTCTCTCTAGGAGAGGTTTCATCACCTTCCTGTACTGATCCGTCCTGGACATTGGTTCTTCTTCAAAGTTATGTTCGGTTTTAATGACGGGTGCCATGTTTAATAAATGTGATACCAGAGCTGTTCTCTGTTGAATGTCTAATAAGCGACTGATTCCGAATGGTATCCGTCCAATCTTAAATAAGCAGGACGGCGGACCGGTTCAGGGTTCTACTGTGGACCGGGACAGTACAAGATTCTACCGTGGGAAGGGACTACGGCCCGGGCCTCTTATCGTCTCTTGATATTAAATAGATAAACTCGGCGTAGTGGCAGCAAATAGTCAGGTTCCTTATCTTTAATCAAAACCTTTATCAAGAATTCAAGCCCAGATCTAACCACTATAGATGCAGCACAAGATCGAAACCAATTCTCCTCCATCTTAACGGAAATCTAGCATCTACACAACGGTTGAATATCAATGCTCTAGGTTATACATGGATACCGACACAGCTCTGAGCTGTACTGCGAACTAAAGAATGTTTTTAAAGCTGCTTTATTTAGCTTTGCTAAGAAAATACAGAGTCTACTCGAAGGATGAATATCCAGGTTCAATATGTTTTGCTCTAGGTACAAGTAGAACTTGATCTTAATGTTTCCTATTCTTTCTACTTACTTTATTTTTATCAAAGATTTTGTCCATAATTTGTCTAGTTTATGGTTAAAATGCATTTACAATAAAGTTGAAGGGAATTTGAAACCTTTTATTAGAATTAACACGTAAAGTATATCTAATGCAATACATAAAAAGATATCATTAAACACCATTACTTTCAGATTGCATACTAAAATGCACATATCAGATCCTAAGACTTGAAATAGAGATTAAAACTAAAACATTATAAATCAAACATGAGATGATTGTTTTATAGCGTAGTTCATGAGAATACATGAATTGTTTAATAGCGTAGTTCATGAGAATACATGAATTGTTTAATAGCGTAGTTCATGAGAATACATGAATTGTGAAAAAGAATAAACAGTTTTTATTGTACATTATCTCAACACCTGCTCAGACTTCTCAGGGACCCAGAGACCAATTTGCATTCCACACTGTAAACATTTACTTCTTTCTTTTATCCAGGTTCATGAGGTTCTTCTTTCAATCTTCTTCCGTACACCATGGGTAATTGCTTTATATTTAATCTTTTTCCCGTTTGTCTCTTAAATCATTCATTGTTTTGTCAAATCTTGCCATATTTTTTTAACATTGTCAAAATCTCAAAACATTTTTTTTAACATTGTCAATTTCTCAAACCTTTGTCAATATCTCAAAACCTTATCTCAAAACCTTGTCAATATCTCAAAAACTTGTAAATATCTCAAACCCTTGTCATTATCTCACACCTTTGAGAATATCTAAAAACCTTGTTAATATCTCAGACCCTTTTCAATTTCTGCAACCCTTGTCAATATCTCAAACCCTTGTCAATATCTCCAACCCTTGTCAATATCTTAAAACCTTGTAAATATCTCAAAACCTTGTCAATATCCTAAAGCCTTGTGAATACCTCAAACCCTTGTCAATATCTCAAAACATTGTCAATATCTCAGACCCTTTTCAATATCTCAAACCCTTGTCAATATCTCAAAATCTTGTCATTATCTCAAAACCTTTTCAATATCTTAAAACCTTGTAAATATCTCACAACCTTGTCAATATCCTGAAGCCTTGTCAATACCTCAAACTCTTGTCAATATCTCAAACCCTTTTCAATATCTCAAAATCTTGTCATTATCTCAAACCCTTGTCAATGTCTCAAAACCATGTCAATATCTCAAACCCTTGTCAATATCTCAGACCCTTGTCAATATCTCAAAATCTTGTTAATATATCAAACCCTTATCAATATCTCAAACCCTTGTCAATATCTCAAAACCTGTTCAATATCTCAAACCCTTGTCAATATTTCAAAACCTTGTCAATATCCTGAAGCCTTGTGAATATCTCAAACCCTTGTCGATATCTTAAACCCTTGTCAATATCTTAAAACCTTGTAAATATCTCAAAACCTTGTCAATATCCTGAAGCCTTGTGAATACCTCAAACCCTTGTCGATATCTTAAACCCTTGTCAATACCTCAAACCTTGTCAATATCTCAAACCCTTGTAAATGCCTAAATCCCGTGTCAATCGTTTTCTTTGACTTTGCCCTTTGCATATTTAACCCTAACCCCCCCCCCTTCCCCGCATCCTCTTTAAAATTATAAATAATCTCAGTTTGAGGTTTTCATGCTTTCTCCTGTAATCGTTCTCGCCACTAAACCAAAAGATTTAGGAAACCGCAATAGTTTAGGCTTTTGTTTTTAACTCTGTCGGCGCTTCTTTACATTTAACAAGATAAACAGATAAACAAATCCATTGCTATTAGATTCAAACAATATTCAATAATTAAAAGTGGATTTGAACATTAGAGCATCTAAGATTGACATAATCGTATAATAATGAGTTTGTATGGGAGGAGGAGTGAAGGGTGAGGGGAGGGTGTAGAAAAATAAAGATAAATTGAAGTTTTTTATATCAAGATTCTCCAGGTGGGGTAGGGAGCTGGGGAGATACAAATAAGGTTTTGTGTTCTCATCAGACCTAAACTAATCCCCCTGTCATAATTATTTTCAGTAGTGAGTCCTGTATAGTCCTAAAACCAAGATTATTGTTATCATCTCCAGGATATACAATACTATTCTTTACCACTAATTCAATACTTTATAACACCTGGAGACAAGTATTTGTTCAATCCGGGAGGGAGAGGGAGGATGGGGTTAGAAAGGGGGGAGAAAGGGGGAGGAAGGAACATTGATTGTTTATGATTCAATGGATGGTCAGGGTTTGAAGATAAGGATCAGAGATAAGAAACTGAATTCATCTTTAATAATGGGTTTAGCTAGCTGAGCTCCTGTAGGACCCGGACTATTAACCCTCTATTCATTCTATATATAGTGGAGATACTCATCCTGCTTCCCTTCAGCTTTAGATCCTCAAGAAAGAGATTCAATTTAGTTTTATTAGCTCCTACTAGAAAACTTGAACTTGTAATTTCTAAAAACTCACCCAATCTCTAATTTCATCTCACTCAGATCTGGCATAATTTGTTCTTCTTCGAAAGTTTTATCTTCAAAACTCTCCAAACCAAGATTAAATCCAGATTTTCATGCATTCAAGAGTTAGTTTAGGTTAATCAATTCTCCAATAAGCTTGACTTTCATTCTACTTTTCCGATTCAACCCTTCTTTTTGATCTAGGTTCATTCAAATCTTCAATCTGAGCTGAAAACTTTAGCATTGGATACTTTTAATCCCGATCGTTTAATCTGAATATCCAATGTGAACACCTTTAATTTCCTCCTTAATCCGCTCTTTTTCTTTCCTTTTCTCTCCCTGCCAGTTTCTGACTAATGAGAGTTAACTCATTATATGTAGCGCAACGTTTCGAGCACTGATCTCGATATCCACAATTCTAAAGTTTTCAGCTCTGGAAATAGTTTTAATTCTTCCAGGATAGTTTTGCCACCAGATTGACATGAACTATGATCATTTAATTCCGTTCACCATGGGGGGGAAGGGGTCGGAGCGCTTCCCCCATATCTACAAATTCCTAACTCGGTTTAATTTCATACAATAAATTGCGTTAATCTAGCGAGGTATGAGAATGGAATGAAAGCAGGTGCCGCGTCGGCGTTAAACTCTCCCAGGAGTTGAACTCTCCCCTGACATGACGCTAGGGACGCCATGGTTCTGTTATGCTTGGAATGTTTGATGGCACCTGTTAAAGTTTCTATCACACGATCCCTCGAACCCAAGCTCGCCTCACATTCCATTGTTTTGCGAGAAACCTGTTCCAGAATGCGATTATACATTGTTTAAAAATGAACTAAGATTATGTTACAAATATTCAACATTCCATATTAGTTCAATTTTTCGGTTGAATTGTTAGAAATGTATAAAATATTGTTCAATCAGAGCAAGTTTATAATTTTTCATCTTTACGTTTTAAACTTTTTGTTTGTTCAAAAATTCGAAATAGTTGTCCCTTGTTATAAATATCTAACAAAAACTGGGAGAGAGTAAAGAAACTATTAGAAATAATAAACACATTATTAGCGCAGTTTAACAATGTTTAATTAAGATCCTAAATACAACAGATGAGTGTCATTGAATTTTATCATTCTGTACTTTACGCCTTTTGTTGCTCTATGCAAAATGTTTTTAATATTTTTAACATATTAATGAAAAAAGATTTTAAAATTAGCAATTTCTGTCCTTGTAGCATTAAATTATCTAATAAAACTTGATTGTTCAGTGTGTTCTTTGACTTGGCTTTGCTGATATCCATCCATGAAACTGAAAACAGATACAAATAACTTAATACAAATAACAACCATGTTTCTTTCTTATTCTGTTATTCCAGTTTATCTACTTAGATTGCTTATATTCATTCGTTCATTAGAGAATAACCCCCTCCTCCCCCCTCCTTAAAATTATAAATANTAATCATGGTTCAGGTTCAGGTTCAGTTTCTCTAGTATAGGTTTATCTATCTCTGTTGTAATCATGGTTCAGGTTCAGGTTCAGTTTCTCTAGTATAGGTTTATCTATCTCTGTTGTAATCACGGTACAGGTTCAGGTTCAGTTTCTCTAGTATAGGTTTTCTGGTTTTAACTCAGATTAAGTTTCTATATTTCAGACTCATGCTTTTCTTGGGATCAGGTTTAGGTTCGGTTTGATTTAGGTTTTTGTTTCTGTATCGTTCAGGTTCGGGTTCAGTTTCTCTAGGTTAGGGTTAGGCTCAGTTTCTCTGGTTTAGGTTTAGGTTCAGTTTCTATAGTTCGGGTTTCGGTCCAGATTCTCTAGTTAAGGTTCAATACAAAGTATCATTCAGTTCAGGCTCATTTTTGGTATTTTTCGTGAATATTGACATTTTCCGTTGATTACATAAACATAGTATCCCAATAAACATGATTTTTTGAAAAAAAAGGGCTAGAATGTCAATTCAAAGTAATACCAGAGAAAATAATTCAAATCAAAGTAGAATTCAAAACAAGCATCTTTCATGACAACACTTTACATTTTGTAATTTTAATAGAAATGTGTTGAAACAAGATCAAGAAGATTTAATGTAT